TGTCTCCCCGTGTGTGTTGTCAACACGAGAACTCGTGACTTTTAAGTGGTGTCCCCATTTATATTTATAGCAGTGGCCATCATGGATTTTGGCATGGCAACCCAATTTTTGAAAGGAAACTTTCTTATGGCTAGATGCAGGCACACACCAAAATGAAAATGGGTACCTCACTTAAGTTTCAAGTTATCTCGTGTTGACAACACACACGGACAGACAGAGGGTATTTCCAATTCCACCATTTAGCTCCATGACAGGAGGGAACAACAAAGACAGTTGTAAAGTTTTAAATAATTTCTATAATAGAAACATGGACAGACTTGTGACCTGTCCAGGGTGTCCCCCCGCCTCTCTACAGTGATGGCTGGATGTGGGCACCGGTGACCCCCGTGATCCAAAAAGGAAGAAGCGGGTAAAGATAATGTATGGATGGATGAAAAACATGGACATTTAAGTCATTTAGTATCACAAAAGCTAAATGTTAAATATTTTCTTGTGTTTTAATCTAAAAACAAGGTGCAAAGACAGTCTGAGGATGGAGCTGAGTGATGGTGTACTCCTGTACAGGTCAGAGCAGCTGTCCAGCGTCTCTCCTCCACCTGGACATTACTCAGACCTTTCCTGTGCTCTCTCGTGGTTCCACACACCCTCTTGTCCTCGTCATCTTTTCACAGCACCCGTCTGTTTCGGCACACAATGGAGTATGGATTCAATAACCACCTAACCCTCAGTGACACATCCATGGACATAAACTCAGAAACCTGATTCTGGATGATAAATCCACTCTTTCTTAATGTTACAACTCTCTTTAGACTGCTTTTGGGTAAAGTTACAAAAGTTTTCTGTTTTTTTTTCCCAAGTGAAGCATGCATGGAATGATGATCGTGGTTTTAGGTAGGGCACATTGTACGCTTCTCCTGGGACTAGCGTAAAACCTGAAGTGTTAAAAGTACCTGAGACGGAGCCCATGACTGTGACGTTCTCCAAAGACTCATTCTTTTAACGAACAACAAATGTTGAGTGAGAAAGGAGTCAAAACTTGAAATGATTAGAAGCTGCAGGCAAACATTATGAAAATCTCCCCCAAATGAAGGCAACTTTGACGTTTCTAAGATATTTTAACAAGAGGTAAAATGA